GTCGTTCATAATCCGAATCTATCTTCACACACACACACACACACAAACTCTCAGATCAGCTCTAACACTAGTTATCAGACAATTATACATTCTCAGGTAGTACTAAGATCACAGTACAATTATAAATGCATTAATGTTGTTCTTGTATATACAGAAAATATCATACAAGTGCATACATAGATATTATACAGCAGAGTTACTGTATCTTTTTAACCAGATACAGTTTTTATCTACTAAAATGACCACTGTAGGCACCCAGACCACTTCAGCTCAATGAAGTGGTCTGGGTGCAGGTCCCCCTAGTCTTAACCCTGCAGCTGAAAACATGTTTCAGAGAAACTGCTATGTTTAAACTGCAGGCTTAATCCAGCCTCGCTTCCGTGATTTACATGGAGTAAAAAAAAAAGTGATCGCACTTTTCTGGCGGCACAAGCGTTTTCGGCTGCACTCTGAAACTGTCGTCGATGGAGAGGTCACCAGTGCAGAGGGAGCCCGGCACTGGATTAGGTAAGCAAATAAAGTTAATTTATAAACGGTGACTAGGGCTCTATAGCGTTAGGAAAACAAATTTGTATTCCTAACGCTATAGCGTTCCTTTAACTGGAAGCACAATTAGCAATGATTAGCATTGCTATAAATCCGCCTTAGATAGAAGTTTCAATATTTCCTAGAGTAACACTATTCTTTTTACATTAAAAAAAACACTATAGATTATTAAAAATATAGTAGTGACACAGCCACATGTAGTAATGTCTACAACATGTCCACAAATTAACTTGTTTGCATATTAATAACATTGCCTATCTTGTCTATTTCAGGTTTAATGCAGTCTGTTGGGAGAGGCGAAGAGTGCAGCTCGCTTCAGTTACCTGTCTTCCCATCACATGAAGACAGTGTCATTGAGGCGGCGCGGTCCTCAGAATCTATTTCCTGCTCCCTGGAGGAGGAAATGGGCCCAGGGTCTGTCTTTGAGACTGCCCACAGTGTGACTGCACAAGAGCCACCAATCACACCGCCACCTGTCCAGCCACTGCCACCTCTCCAGTCAGTCATCACCTGGCCCAGGAGGATCCATGTTGCGAATGGAGGAGCTGATGGAGGATATGGTTCTGGTCATAATAAGGCAGACCCGGGCCATAATGAGTCTAAGCTTGTCGACCGAAATGGACCGTGTGGTGTCCCGGGTCAGCCTAGAGCAGCGCCAGGCGATGGAGCACGTGAGAGTTTCCATTATTGATGAAATCGTGCGCTGTGTTTCTCCATCGTCTGGATCATCGGAGTCCGAACCGATATCCTCCACCCCGCCAGGACCATCCCCGATGATTCCACCAGGGACCAGAGAAGGCAGCCACCGGCGGAGACGAGGGCCTCGTTACCGGAGGTCCCAGTAAATTAAACGAAAAGTGCCCATGCACTCACCCTTTTTGTTTGTTTTTATTTTATTTTAGAGTCCTATAGTGCTCTGTATGCTTTGCAACCAAATAGTCATAGGTCCCATAAAACATCTTTTCCAGAACCATTTGTGCTACAGATTTACATATTGCTGTGCATGGTCATGTTGTTGTGACATAGTCATGCAAGAAATGTTATTTGAAACTTTTCATGCAAGAACATTTTAAGCTGAAAACCAGTTGTTAGGACAATGTGAAATTTGGCACCCATATTCACGCCAATTGCATGAAGGTGCATATATTTCACTACTGAACTATAACATTTATTGTTAAAAAAATGTGATTATGCAATAACCATGCCAAAGGTCCTTTTTTACTTTGACGCTCATGTAAAATGTATAAGACGTTGTATGCTAGCTTTATGCACTTGCTGTATGCGTGCTCTTATGCTCGTTTCACCTGTAAAGGTCAATTAGTTATGTGGTTTGACTGGCAGCTGTATTGAAATCTTAACCGATATTACAGTGCATTTGTAAAAAAATTCACAATCAAAAATTCTTTACAACAATGTGGTAAGTTATGGTGTGCTCTGCAATTTGTATTGTGAAGCCTGTATATCATATGGTCTGCCAGCCATGTTGGTTTTTATGATTGACCAAAAATCCCAACTATATAATTTAAAATCTAAATCTTTGAATGTCCTTTACCATATCCAATATCATTCTATGCGTGTGCTGCATCCATGCTTTTAGGCTTGTAATCCTCTCTACTGGTTAGTAGTACTAGTTAGTCATGTGCTTTGTCAGCCACTTTGTAATTGGTGTCACAAATGTTTAAAATAACTATTTTACTAGTACTGACCACAGAATCAAACATGCGTGGTATTTATCCTGGCACTATGTGTCAGGTGTGTTGGCCTTATTGAATTACATGACCTAATTTTCAAAATTGTACTAGTTTATCTGCCGTCATATTCTGTTTCTATAAATGCATAGCCTTAGTTTCATTTTTTCCTAAGAGATGTATTGTTCATTAACGAAGCACTCTGAGCAACGTTTTCATTCCTAAAGTGCACTTAACAAAATATATATTTATTTATTATAAAGATAATGGCTCTTGTGTATATGTAAAATAAACATATATTGAAATGGAATAGTTTTTCAATGCACAATGTAATTTTTTTTAAATTGTGAATAAGGTTTTTCGATGTGTGTGTGTGTGTGTGTATATACAAACATTTTTGATTGTATAGGATATATATTTATTTCCATCTTAACTTATATGTTTCATTGCATAATAAACATATTTTATGTATTGATTATTGTGGTTTCTTCTTTTCAATTCATAACTTATATGGTTAAAGGAACACAAACATGTAGTGTTAAACCCACCATTTAGGTGGCTTGCCCCCTTATAAAAATGTAAACTCACCTTATTTCCAGTTGTCCGTGGGTCCGACGGTGCTGCCCTGCCCCCTTGGTGACATAAAAATTGACAATGTTTAGCCAATCCATGGGAAAGCTTTGGATTGGCTAAAATCGGCATGGCCAAACGCCCCATTTGTGCCAATCAGCACCTCCTCATAGAGATGCATTCAATCAATGCACCTCTGAGAGAAATTCAGCGTTCCCATGCAGAGCATGGAGATGCTGAATGGCACTGCTGCCTACTGTGCAGCACTGAGCCAGGAAGCACCTCAAGTGGCCACTTGGAGGTGTCCCTAGGGGCAATGTAAACACTGCCTTTTCTCTGAAAATGCCTGAAGGGAGCTATTATACTCACCATAACAACTACATTAAGCTGTAGTTGTTCTGGTGACTATAGTGTCTTTAAGTATTAAAGTAGAGATTGTAGCCGTATTAATCCAGTGATGTAGATGTAAAAAAGATAACATTTGTATCTTGTAATACCTTTTTTTTTTTTTTTTTTATTGGACTAACATTTTTTTTTTTAATGAAAAGCTTTCGGGAGAACCTCCCTTTCTCAAGTCTGAAGCATTTCTGACGACACATAGAATTCAAAGTTGAGTTGTGATACGGAGTTAAAGCGACATGGTCCAGATAAGACACAGGTGTGTTAGAAAATAGGCACCAGATGGCTGTCAATCAATATCTTGTGTGAAGATCAGAGTGAGGTGGGAGGGGGGACATGGAGGCCCATCTACACACGCTTATGATCAAAAAAGGTTATTTACCTTGGAAGTCTTCATGTATGATTCTGAACGAATCCCCTGATGCACCAAAATATGTTGGCAACAGCAGTCAATGACAATGCCAGCGACCTTTTGAGGAGATTATAGCACGGCCACACAAGTGTGATCTAAAGGTTCCGTTAATTACGGACCAGGTCTCATTGTAGGCTTGCTCGGCAAGACAAAGATGCTGTGTGACAAGTGAGCAGCCAGGCCTTGAATCCATATCTTGTCACCTGTTGGAGATATGAATTGTTGTGAATATACATATGGGAAGAGTGCAGAGGATTGTCATGTCAGTTTATAGTGTGAATGGGAAGTACACTTGCCTCTCCAACTTTATAGCGATTGGAAGCAGTTCAGTGAAAGCTTAATTTGTGTGTGAGCAGTGCACTAAACCCAGGGCAGGTTGTGCACAAGTAAAAGCAAGAAGCAGTGCAGCATGGATATTGGACATAAGAGTATAGAAGTTGTGGCTGCTGTGTGCATGCATAACTTATTTAGTGTTAGAATTGTGTTATACCTTATCCACAGCAATGGTGAATTGCACAGGTGTGTTTGGGATCAAGCTTACTGGGCGTGTTACTGGATGGGAGTGTTAAGAGTGCAGGTGATGGAATGTCATTGCCTGACGTGTTGACATACCATTACTTACCAACCAACTATTGGTCAGGGAATCCTCCTGTCTCTAGGTCACAAAGCAGAGTCATATCCAAGTCGGAAAAAAGTCCACGGCAATGGCTCTTATGGTACCTCCGTGAGTTGTCCATCTTCAGAAGCCAAATCTCATATTTCAAGCGAGTACGGAGCTGTTCCATCCATAACACATCGACGAGGAGTTGACAAACTATTACACAACCCAGCACACTATTTCTTTAGCTCAATTCAACAAATTCATAGCAATGATATATGCAATTTTGTTCAGAACTCAGAAGAAAAACTAATTTTGTATTATAAAGTAGTGGGTGTGGTATGAATTGGATACTGCCTCTCTGAATACTTTTTATTTTTAAACAACTAGCTAGTAGGATACATAAAAAAAAAAAAAACTAAATAAGTCACTAAATTAAGGTCAACAAACACCCGTCCCATAATGAGTTACGTGAGTAAAAAACTTGAAGTCCAAAACACGTTTCAGCGCTAACATGGCGCCTTCCTCTAGGCGACTGAATCCTAGAAGGATTTAAATAGGAGCCTGTGTGTAGCTAGAACAATACTTGGACCAATCATAGTCGTTGGGTGCATAATAAATTAGCCACGTGTAGTGTGGCCAATCAATAAGGAGTACATCATAAAGTGGGGTTGAGTGAACGATTAAACAGAAGAGAAAACACTGTCAAGGAAGGTATATCCCAACATGCAAACCTGAGACACAGATATCTACTATGAAAAGATAGTAAACGTATTACCGGTCCTTAGAGTGGCCGGGCTTAACGTAGAAGTATAGAATAATGACAAAAGAGAGAAAAACAGACAGAGGGTATAGACAACGTAGTTTAATCTGTGTCAAAGCTAAGAGTGGGGTAACCCAACTTGGGCAGATTAACTTTTAGGAAAGCCATTTGCTCCATGAGCCGCGGTGCCAGTTGGGACCGCTGAGGGCAAAGTATGTTTCCCGTAACAGAAAACACGTTCACTCTGGACAGTGGTTGGGGGACAAGAAAGGAGCTCCTGGGCTAACAGAGAATGCGGGCTACACATCCCTTTTCTCTTCCCAAAAGCTCAAAGGATCTGTAGTAGGGGGCATAGGTGGTTCACCAAGGAAAGCCTTCACCATCTCTTCAGCATTACTTCCTTTTCTTGAGGGAACCGTAGTGGGTCCCACAAAAGTATCCAGGGCTTCTGCCCAAAACGCAGCTGCTCCAGTGGATTGAGCAGTGCTGCTTACACTGGTAAATGATGGTGCTACACTATCAGGCTCCTTCAGCTCTTCTTCCTCAAACAACCTTATCCTCTTTCTTTGCACATCACGTACCCTGTCAATCAATTTATCCCTCCAAGCGGTCAGGGAATTTATGTGGCGTGTCATCTTGCCCTTTATTCTTGGGTCACACATGCACGCAAGCATCAACTCTTGGCAGGACTCCATGCGCTGATTGAATCTACGTGTTAGTTGCTCCTCGAGCCTCCTAACAAGTGCAGCAACATCACCAAGTAGTTGGCCACCAGGTACCACTTCCTTTTTAGAAATTAAGCGACTCAGTTTATTTGAGAGGTGGGTGAACAAGGGAATTACTTGACCAAGGCTCGCATTTTCTTGGCTTAAATTCTCCGTAACATCCCTGAATGGCCTAAGGACTGCCACTAGCTGCCCAATCATTAACCAATCCTCCCTGACTAAGGGGCTATCGATCCCGATGTAATGCTCATAGGACATGGCATTGATTGCTTTCTGCTGCTCCAGCATCTCCAAAGTGGAGTTCCACCTAGTCCCTACATCTTGCTTGAGACAATGCTAGTCAATGCCTGCCTTATTTTGCTCATTTCTCAGGAGCTGGCTATCCTGCACGCTACGGTGGAAGTGGCCAGCAATCTTTCTGCATTTCTCAAGCAGGGTTGCCAACTGTCCACTGCTTTTGTTTTCAATAGCAGCCTTCACTACTAAATGAAGGATATGAGCTGAGCAACGCACGGCTACAAAGCTACCATCATGGAGAGCCTTCACCATGTTTGCTGCTCTGTCAATCACCACAAAACCCATCTGTGTGTTTGCCTGCTGTCCTACCCTCTGCACCACCATCTTTTTTAGTGCCTGCAAAATATTTGCTGAGGTATGTTGTTCGTCCGTCATCTCAGCATGGAGGAGGAA